ATTTCAATTCAAACACATCATAACATTCTAAGAAGTAACTTATTGTGACTATAAAATCACCTTTCTCATTTCCCATCTAATTGCAATGGATTAATAACACTCGTACTATTATTTCTGAATGTACATTATCTCATATTGACTTTTATTCAAATATCTAGTCGATTTTACACATGTATATAAATGAAGGAATGAAGTTGTGTGAGTAGTGCCTTAATATGATTATGAGCAATAGTTTGTGCTCGAAACGTCATCAGTAAATATTACTGTACAACACTGTGTGATTTATCAAAATAAAATCTTATCCATAATGGAACTACAGTTGAACATGGAGAAGACTCAGGTGAGGAGGTATAAGTATAAAACTTGGGCACTGTGGTAGAGTATAAGTCCATAATGGATAAGATTTTATTCTGATAAATCACACAGTGTAGTACAGTTAGGTGAGGAGGATAGCCAACCAATCAGCCAACAATAACAACCATCATTAATCACCGTCAGCGACAGAATTTTGAAAATGTTCACTACCCTCACTTATCTAGGAAGCATCCTTTCAACTACCGGCAGTCAGCGTGGTTGGATATGTCAAAGCACGCCACAATCAGAAAGTCAAGGAACACCTTCAACACTCTGAAATCAGTTTCGAAATCTTCTGCACTCAGCCAGCATAAACAACAAGATTCGGAGTTTCAGCACAAATGTCAAGTCAGTCACTTCTTCTATATGGGTCAGAAACTTGGCTATCGCGTCACGAAAAGCATTTCAAACAGCTGGCTTCAAACTTCGCTGGCGCCATATTGAAGATCAAATGGCTGGCCAGAAAGAATTAGGTACAAAAAACTCTGGGAACGAACCAGTGAAGAATCTATTGCTCAACAAATAGGACGAAAGAAATTGGAGATGGATTGGCCGCACACTCAGCAGACCGTTGAGTGACATCGCACACTAGGCTGTTGCTCAAGTGGAACCTGAATGGAAAACGAGTTATCGGGCGTGAGTTCGAGGGTAACATGGAGGAGGTTGTGAGAGAAGAAGATGGGAGACTATAGGCAGTCATGGAACTAGCCAAAGAGGATCACAGAAAGTAGGACGAAGTAGAGACATGCTGTTGAATCATTATGTTCCACTCGAAATCCAAGGGAACAATAAAAATAATAACGCGAGTTCAAAAATCTTTGATAACTAGGGGAGCTTTGCACATATGTTTCGTCTTAGTTTTAGACTCTTCATCAGTACGCATCCACCAGGGTTCAAACCCATGATCATTTTCAGGTTAAAAATGGAGCTAGTTGATCATCCCAAGATCAATGGATTCCAAAATTCTGCTAATTTGTGATGAATATTGCTCAACCACCAATCTAGGCGAATAAGTGTTCTCTTAACTAACATGATGCGGTTTTTAACAAATAACGTCATCTTTGTCAGTGGCGATGTTTAAGAATCTCTAGAGACAAAATCTCATGTTCAGTTTTGCCGGGAAAGACAATTATTTCACTCATAGTGACTTCTAAATTTATTTAGATAAATTTTCAAGCGTCAATTCTTAGGGAATTGATTTGTTTCACGTTTAAAAATTAATCTGATGCTCGCTACTGACTGGCTACAGTGAGAATTTGCCTGGAGTTCTAGTGAGAAGTCGTGACCATTGGGATCCACCAGGTAGGCGGGCGTGAGGACAAATACTCACCACCGATGACATTGGCTAGTGGTTGCGCTAAAATCACGAAGTGGTAAGAGGTGGATTTTATGAGCCACTGGATTGCTGCATTGTTGAGTAGTTTACAATCTTATGTCCAGAAGGCCCTGGGTTCGAGCTACAATAGGTGTGTACTGTTAGAGAATTTCGAAATACGACGAAACAACTGTCTGGTACTCCATAATCTTCACTGGTTCCCTAATTGACATCAACCTAAAGTCAAACTTGAAACAAATTCTAGATTTGTCAATTTATATTGAGGTCAGTACGGAAGATGTTGTCTAGGGAAGAAGCAATCAATGTAAGCTTTACAGTTAAACTATTAGCCACAGCAGAGAACACAACCACACCAAAATTATTGTCCATCTAAGCTACAAACCTTCCCATCATTCCTAAGTCTGAGCACCTTCACTAGTGAGATTGTTAAACATAAAGGTAATCACTGTTAGCACAGCTTTAATTAAATTTATCATCTACAAAGGAGAATGGTTCGAGACAATTGGTGATATGGTTCAAAATCGTTCTTAATGACTGACGCAGATGCATTCACTCCTTGTGACTTATAATACCCAGTAAAACTATATTGTTCTTCGATATTACTATTCTTTTTGCCTCATATCTCTGTTTACTGTCTCTATTTTGCATTTCTTTTTACTTTCTTCTCTTGCTTTGTGTGCTACATGGAGGGAGTGTGGTGACTCGAACTGCTGCATATCGGTGTAAAGTTCTATGTTGAAACCGGTCAGTCAGTCACCATCTACAAACAGGTTCCTGTATCTGTGTGCTCAGCAAAGAATACACTTTTCGTAACTTCTCTTTGAAACCTTCGAGTTCAACTGTGTTTCCAAAAAGTCATGCATAGGAAATGTCAATAAAGGACAGTTATGAATATCAACCGCTTAGGGACAAAACAGATGAAATTTCATATCAGGATAACAAAATAGATAAATTACGATATTTAGTTGGGGGGTCTTACGTAATTTAAGAGCATTAAGTGATGAATAGCATTCAGAGATGATTGCCAGTATAAGTCGAATCGCTTGGAAACAGCAATATTGTTCATAAGAGTAAGACTGACTGAATTTTCAATATAAAATTTGGTATAAAAATGCAGGAGCTCAAGCTGCCACACTCCATGTACCATACGAAGGTAAAGAAGAGCAAAAACAGAAATTCAGAAGAGAACTGTAAAGGGCAGAAATGTGAGGAAGAAAGAGTAGTAACACGGGAGAACATCAGGATTTATAAGATATGGGGAGGTTACAAAGAATGAACGCGTGTACGCCAATGACAACGTTTCGAGTCACATCACTAATAGTATACAACCAATGTATCTTAGCGTCCCAAAGACATTAACCAGTTAGTTTATTTAAAAGCTCTTGCGATACACAAGAAAACCCGTGAACTATACACGCAGAGGCTGTTTCTCCAACCCTTTTTACTGCTGTGAACTTGAACCTTCTCGTTCTTTGAACTTGTACAGTAATTTGCTGTGTAACCTACCTTCATTCGTGATTTTCTTCTGCATTCCTGTCAAAGTCATCAATTTAAAATCAACTTTACACATTTCTGAATGCTATTCATCACTTGATGCTGCTTTTAGATTACGTAAGACCACATAACTAAGTTTAACAATTTATGAAATTTTGTTCTCCCTGTCATCAAATAATATTAATCTATTTATTTAATTATTTATTGTTCCATTGGGCTCCAAATGGAACATACGGCTTTGACAACACGTCTCCATTTTGTAATGTTCTCCGCAGTTTTCTTTGTCTAACGCCACGATTGTCCATGAGTTTTCATCTTCTCCTCACATGATTTCCTCCATATCACCATTGGACCATAGTCTAGCTCGTGTTTTTAAATTCGGGTTCCACTAAAGAAATGGCTTGGTGCTCGATACCCTTCGATGGTCTCCTGAGCGTGTGCGCAATCCATCCCAATTTTTTTCGTCATATTTTCGGACGATCGGTTCTCGGCTGGTTCGTTCCCAGAGTTTCTTGTCGCTAATTCTTTCTGGCCAGCCATTTGACCTTCAATATGGAACCAGTAAATTCTCAAGCCAGATGTTTGAAATGCATTTCGTGACGCAACAGCCTTGTTTCTGATCCATATAGAAGAAGTGACTGACTTCACATTTGTGTTGAAAATCCGAATCTTGTTGTTTATGCTGGCTGAGTGCAGAAGATTTCCCAGGTGATTTCAGAGTGCTGAAGGTGTACCTTGACCCTTCGATTGTGGCGTGCTTTGATATCTTCAACCATGCTGACTGCCTGTATTGGAGAGGATGCTTCCTGGATAAGTGAAGGAAGTGATCTCTTTCAAATTCCTCCCGTTGATGGTGGTTGGTGCTGGTTGTTGTTGTTGGCTAGTTGGTTGGTTACTTTCCTCACCAGACCTTCTGGAAACGCTATGTACAGGTTTTGGTAAAAATACACAAAAAGAATACTGCGAAGGATTCTATGCACTGTCAGTTGACCGAAGCAGCTAGTTAGAACTTAGTTGATATGAACTAATTAGCCCCTCTTTTAGCTAGGTTTCCTGACACACCAGACAGTCCAATGAGTGAAGCCCGAATGAGAAAAACGAAGAGTTTGGCATGGGTTCAAGGGTGACATGGAAGAGATTGTGTAAGGAGGACATCAGAGATTATGAGTAATACTGGAGCCAACTGACAGGGGCTTCAGAGAACAGGGAAAAATCGAGGTGTGCTGTTGAAGGCCCAAGTTCTACTTGGAACCCAAGGGAATAATAATTATTAACTAAGTTAATTTGGGTATATGCCTCATGAGCCAGGCATAACCCAGTCTTCAGACCATTTTGATCAAGCTGAGTGTTTCCAGCTACTTATTAATACCAAATTAGTAGTAAGTACCATATTACAGACTTTCATCAACATCTGTCTTCGATAAATACTCAAGAACAGATAGCCAGAAAAGATGAGCAACAGGGATCTCTGGGAGGGGTAGCAATTGTGCAAGAAATATGCAGGAAGAAATGGAGGTGGATTGGCTGGCCATACTCTAAGAAAACCCTCAAGTGATTGACACCACACGATAGGCCATCGCTCGAGTGGAACCCGAAAGGGAAGTGGCGAGTTTGTCGTCAGTGAGAGGTTGACTTGGAGGAGGTCGTGTGAAGAGGAGATAAAAGCATGTAGGTAGACGTGGGACCAGGTGAAAACGTTGGTGGAGAACCGAACGCAATGGCGAGGTGCGACTAAAACCCTATGTTCCTCTAGGGATTAAAGGAAACAATAATATAATATAATAATAACATTACAGTGTTACAATGTTCAACTTACTTTTACTTGTATGTATTCATGCAAATTACCAAGTGAAGGCAGTTCATACATCAGTACTAAACTACTAGGATTGATTAGTTGATCACGTGATTCAGTTTGAATTGCATCATCATAAATGATAGCCAGTAAACTCATAATATTTGGATGATGAATGCGTCTGTAGAATAACGGGTTTAAAAAAAACGCATTCATTACTTAACATGAATATGTATAATATGCAAATTTTATATTGTCTCGTTAAATGAAGGATAAGTTGCGGTACAGGTTTCGATAGGTGAGTAAGGTACATTCAGTCAAGTGTGAGGATGGATTTCCCACCAACGACAATGGTTGGGGTCGCGCTAAATCACGAATTGGTAGAAGTTAGAATTCATGTGCCAACCATTGAATTGGGTCCCAGTGGCTGAATGGTATACGAGCTTGCCTTTTAACCGGAAGGTCCTGGGTTCTAACCCCGCCTGGTGGGTGCGTACTGCCGATGATTCCCAAACTAGGACGGAACGGCTGTCCAGTACTCGGTGGTCGGACTCGAGGAACATGTTTCGATCACAAGGGAATCCTGAGTGGTCACTACTTTGAAAGGATGTTGGATGGTTTGAAGTAAATGAAGCAGCGTCGTAGACCTAAATGCTACTCGTTAGTAAAGTGTACACGAAATCTCAAGGGAACTGATATCGCCTGTGAAATTAGTACCGACGTCAGTGGGTTAACTACTGATGAGCGTCAGTAAGGTCAAAAATTAAGTTCATTGTTCTGAGACGATTACTTCAAACCACTAAAGATCAATTCTGAGTGTTCTGGAGTGGCAAGTTACCTAACTTGGTGATCCTGTTGAAAACCTCACTAGTAGAATTTGTTTGACGTTAAAGACCAGATACACGACACATGAGTAGTGACCAGTCAGTGTACTATACCAGCAAATAATTACATATTATTCAAGTGTTGGTTTGTAGGGATTTGATTGATTACAGGATTTCATCATGAGCTGACATTAATTAGATAACCATTGGAAAACCTGCGAGTACTGGACAGCCGTTTCGTCCTAGTTCGGGACTCTTCATCAGTACGCACCTACCAGGATTCACTTATTGGACATTTCACCTCGTCAAACAGTCTTATTTACTGCATGATCTTTGGAACACAATTTGTTGTTCATGATCGTACCGTCAAATGTAACATCCCAACTTTTTAAAACTTTGTGTTTTGTAGTTGTACTTCTTGTTTTGTTAGTCATAATTCAATGTAGAGATCAAGGCAGATGAAATCTATGAAAGATGGTCAGGGGGACCTAATTACTCAACAGGAGAGACATGTAAAACAATAGGTTTATCAGTTCATCTGCAACTCTTCCACAAATACCACCATCAATAGCGCTCACCAAACTGCGAGTCGACACCAATCATCCAACAAAATCAGAAATCTTGAGTGCAGTCAAGCTACTGAAGTCCAAGAAGGCAACGAATATACTCACGCCACTACTGTATAGGGATTGGAAGGAAGAAAAGGTTGAAAAAAAGACTACCCTGAATTCAATTTGGAAATTTCACGTTCTCCGAAGCATAAAGAAGAAAATTCGGATTTCCAACACTAATTTTAATTCAGTTAATTTCTCTATATGGGTCAGAAACGTGACAATTGCGTCACCAGAAGCATTTCCAACAGAATGCTGCGGACTCTTATCAAAACAGCTGCCCCCTTCGCTGGCTCCACACTGAAGATCAGACGGCTAGCCACGAAGAGTTAGCTGCAAGAAACTCTGCTGCTCAAGAAATATTTCGAAGAAAACGGAGATGGATCAGGCATACGCTGTGGAGACCGTCGAGTGACATCGTGCATCACGCGACCGAAGTGGAAACGACGACTTGGGCTTTAGTGCGACGATGACATAGAGGTGGTCATGCAAGGAAGAGAAGAGGGAATATAGGCAATCGCGGGGATAGCTAAAGAGGACTAATGGCGATATGGTTCAAAAGCATTCTCAGTAGCTGACTTATGATACCCAGTAAAACTATATTGTTCTTCGATATTACTATTCTTTCTGCAACATATATCTGTTTACTGCCTCTATTTTGCATTTCTTTTTACTTTCTTCGCTTGCTTTGTGTGCTACATGGAGGGAGTGTGGCGACTCGAACTGCTTCACATCTGTGCAAAGTAGCTCTATGTTGAAACCAGTCAGCCAGCAAGTCACCATGCAACACAGGAGATACAACAAAAACACACCAATGATCAAAGACGACTAGCCCATTTATATCTTCTGCTATCAGCGGCTATGTTACAACACACCTGTAAAGAATGCCGTAGCGTACTGTTGCACAGTAAACATGTTATCACCAATGTACAAATCTTTTTTCGCCTCGTCAGTAGAACATCTTCAAAACAACTTAGGTCATTAAAAAGAAGATAAACACATTAAAACAAAACAAAATTATTTTTAAAAAATAAATAAGTAAATAAAAATAATTACCTACCTGCATACTTCTAATTCACGAATTAATAAATTGTGTAGAATATCTTTAATTTTTGAATTTAAACTTCCTCCCAAAAACTGAACAATAATAGGGTTGAGTTGATGCGTAAGTACAGGTATGCTACCATGCCAACGTTTACTAGGTAGGAGAAAAAAAGGGGATGAAAATAAGGTGAAATATGAAATACGCGTACGTGTATATTACGCAATTCTTCGTCGAATAAGTGTTCGTGCTTTGTTTCCCTGCACAGCACTTTGAACTGATCTAAGCTCCAGACAACGCTTTACCCCTGACAAGGTGATTGTCCTTGAATGTCCCAATGGCCTGAAGAATTACGGGGGGAGGAACGAATGTTCCTATAGGTCCTACTATAACAGAAAGGTCGTCTGAATAGCACTTCTGTCTAAAGCAGAAACTGTCATATTGTAAGTCGTTTACACTATATTGGAGGTCTGAGGGTGCAGTCGTACTCCTGGTAAATAGGGTGTGACAGTGACCAACTATGCTGCTTTTCGTCTCTAGAGTAAGGAAGTCAGAAAAGGTTGACTCTAAAAGTTTTATCTCCCGAGTTACTTTGTGGAGGTTCGTAGTTAGCAGTAAGAACTTCACATGGACTTAACTCGGAAAAGTACTTCAGACTGACTGTCTAAGTGATCGGTCTTAAGCAGCTGTTCCATGGGTTATCAGGCCCCACATTACTATTGCTCTTCCTGTTTCAGGTAACTCAAGAATAAATCGACTTCCACGGTGTGGGCAACCGGAAAGTAATAATCACCACCTCACTTTCATAAACACACAAGGAGCTTTCCTGGTCAACACTTACCTTCGTCTTTTTTTCTCTCATTCCTAATACTATTCCTCAGGTAGATGCTTATCCTTTTTATTCCTTTGCGTTCCCGGTGGGACATAGGACAGTAACAGTGATTCAACCTGCCCTCTCTACCGGGCTTGCTACCAAACAAGCGAGGCTTAGGAGTGCGTTTCAGCTGATCCAAAAAGGGAAACTCAGCGGAGCCTTTAAAGTCAAGACAGGAGTTAGACAAGACTGCTGCCTACTATCACCGATGACATTCCTAATTGTGGTAGAGCGGATTATGCGTCCCACTGCAGGTGGAGGAACGAGAAGATAGGAGTACATTGGAGTGATAAGAAAACTCTAGAAGATCTGGATTTCCCAGATGATTTATATGTGTAATATCACACAAACTCGAAGACCTACAGGCGAAAAACAACAAACTGGTTGAAGAAACAGCAAAGAATGGATTTCAAGTAAACATAGCGGAGACATAGGTTGTGAAGGCTCCCATGCACCAAACAACAACAACAACCAGCATCAGTCTCCATCAATGTGAGACATTTGAAAGATGTCACTCCCTTTACTCATTTAGGAAGCATCGTTTCACCTACACGTACATGGTTCAGAGGAGGATGCTAAAACAAAAGTCGGAAAAGCGAGACAGACCTGTCACTCTGACATCAGTTTGAAAAAATCTTCTACACTCAGCCAGCATAAACAACGAGATTCGAAATTCCGACCCCAAAGTTAGAAGCTTGGCTATCCCATCACGAAAAGAAAATCCAACAACCAGCTGCAGACGAGGTAAAGGGGTGGGTCGGTCGGGAATCGGATCTCGAACCACATGGGACGTGGTTGGCGAGCATTAAACAAAATGAGAGTTAATAAAACGAAGGAGAATGCTAGATTATAACAGCTTAGATCATTTACCAGTGACTAGCAATTAAACTCAGTTCCCTTAAATCCTCACAGGTATGTGACAAATTTGTCATTGACTGAACTTTAAGTAAATAGAATAATAAATATGTTTATTACTATTATTATTGTTTCCTTTAATTCCTAGACCAACATAGGGCTTCAGCCGTGCGTCTCCGTTGCCTTCGGCTCTCTGCTAGAGTCTTCACCCGGCTCCGAGTCTGCCCACACGTTTTCATCTCCTCTTCACATGACCTCCTCCAAGTCACCCTTGCACTGACGACCAACTCGCCGCTTCCCTTGTGGGTCCCACTCGAGCAATGGCTTGTCTAGTGATGTCACTTGATGGTTTCCTCAGAGTATGGCCAGCCAATCCATCTCCATTTCTTCCTGCCTATTTGTTTCACAATCGGTTCCTGCTGAGTTGGTTTGCTCATTGCCAGAGAACTCTGTTGCTGATCTTTTCTGGCTGGCCATCTGATCGTGAGTATTGAGCGAAGACAGCTGTGAATGAAGGTCTGTAGTTTGTTTGAGGTGCTCTTTATGATGCGCTGGCCAAGTCTCTGATCCGTATAGTGAGTAGCACTGACTGGCTTCACATTGGAGTTGAAAATCCGGATCTTATTTTTCATTCTGAGTTCTCAGTGTTGACCTCCACACAGACTTGAGAGTGGTGAAAGCTTGTCTTGCTTTTCCGATTCTTGCTTTGATATCCTCGTCAATTCCGCCTGTAGTGGAAACGATGCTTCCTAGGTAGGTAAAAGAGGTTGTTTATTTCAGGTTCCTCCCATTTATGCTGATTGTTGTCTGTTGTTGTTGTTGTTGCTGTTGGTGGTGTTGGACAGAAATCTTCATCTCCTCTGTTTTCTCTATGTTCACCTGAAGTCCTATCTTCTCCGGATGCTTCTTCTGCGAACTTGTTGCTTTTCGCTTGCATATCTTCCAGTTTGTGGGAAATCAGACATATATATATAGTTTGCCTAAGTAGCTTGCCAAAATCCTGGCAGTTTCAACTATTTGGGCTCTTTGATTTGGCTCGAAACAGGTGCATCCAAAAATAGAGTGAAGGTTGATTGATTGCCTGACTTTCTTTTCAACGGAGAAATTTGCACATAAGTGTAGCACTTCGAATTGCCACACTCTATAAAAAGGTAGTGTGGTTTAAGGACACTAAGTAGTGCTTTCCTGGTTCTGGTTGTTATTAATGCTCACAGACTTAAGAGAAGATCAAAGATCTATCGGCGTCAGTGGTTTAGCAGTAGAATCCTTACCAATTACTCATCTGGTATGAGGTTTGATCCTCAGCCGATACACTCTTATTATTATTATTGTTCCCTTGGGTTCCGAATGTAACATAAGGCTTTAACAGTGTTGCTCAAATCAAAGCATAGCTTCATCAGTCAATGAAATCTACAACAGTTAGTTTAAGCCAGCTACGCAGGAAGGTGTAGACTTCCTGACTGTTTGGGGTCCCGGGAACGGCAAACACCAATAACGGCTGGAGACAAATATTGGTGATATGGCTCAAAGTGATCGTTCTCAATGGCTGGCGCAGATGCATCCAATGAAACTATATGGTTCTTCAATATTACGATTCTTTTCGCCTCATATCTCTATTTACTGTCTTTATTTCGCGTTTCTTTTCACTTTCTTCTCTTGCTTTGTGTGCAACATGAAGGGATTGTGGCGACTTGAACTGCTGCACATCTGTGCACAGTAGTTCTATGCTGAGGCCAGACAGACAAACAGACAGACTTACTTTAGTCAAGGACAGTTGAGGAGTATCATTAACTCTGGCAATAATAACAAGAATAACAATCGTCTCTACCGGATAACGACCCTCACGCAACTAGTAACTGCAAGCAAGTCATGTTAAAATAAACATCCTGTTATTGTTTTAGTAATCCAGGAAATACCATCAGGACAATAACACACAGACAGATAGGTTAATTGGGTGGGTTTAGGTAGTTTGACCTACATCATCTATTTTTTCCACCATCTTCCTTTTACTTGATTCTTCTATGCTATAAATCTAATAACTTCATTTATTTGAAGGTTAAAATAAAGAAATGAGGAAATCAGATGCATTTTACAAGTTTCTCTATTTACTCTTCATCACTAGTTACCTCTATAATCAAAAATATTAAAGTTAAGAAGATGACTAGTAATCAGTGTTAATGATGGGATATGTAGGTTACGATGGCTCTGTATTCCTACATACTTAAGGATGTCTGTCATGGTTTAACAGTTCTCAACTATTCACACTGTGAAAATTGATTTCTTTTCGAAATGCCTCAAAGAGAAACAGGATTAGTATTCATGGAAGTGACAACCTAGAGGATAGCTACTTGAATCTGATTACAAATATGGTATGGCCTACTATCGCCGATGATTTTCCTGATTGCAGTAGACTGGATAATGCGACAAACAGTGGGCAATGGGGAAACAGGCATAAAATGGACTCACACAAAAAACTTGGAGGATCTGGACTTCGCCGATGATATATGTCTGATTTCCCCCAAACTGGAAGATATGTTAGCGAAAAGCAACAAGCTGGCAGAAGAAGCATCAAAGATAGGACTTCAGGTGAACATAGAGGAAACAGAGGTGATGAAGATTCCTGGCCAACAGGAAGAGCAACAACAACAGACAACAATCAGCATAAATGGGAGGAACCTGAAAGAAACAACCTCTTTTACCTACCTAACTTGGAAGCATCGTTTCAACTACAGGCAGACGGAACTGGCGAGGATATCAAAGCAAGAATCTGAAAAGCAAGACAAGCTTTCACTACTCTCAAGTCTGTGTGGCGGTGAAGGTCAACAGCACTGCTCAGCATGAGTAATAAGATCCGGGTATTCAACTCCAATGTGAAGTCAGTGCTACTATACAGATCAGAGACTTGCACTGCGCGTCATAAAGAGCACCTCAAACAGACTACAGACCTTCATCAACATTTGTCTTCGATCAATACTCAAGGTCAGATGGCGAGAAAAGATCAGCAACAGGGATCTCTGGGATCAAACCAACCAGGAACCGACTGTGAAACAAATAGGCAGGAAGAAATGGAGATGGATTGGCTGGCCATACTCTGAGGAAGCCATCAATTGAGTGACATCACACGCCAGGCCATCGCTAGAGTGGAACCCAACTGAATGGGAAGCGGCAAGTTGGTCGTCAATGTGAGGGTGACATGGAGGAGGTGATGTGAAGAGGAGATGAAAGCATGTAGGCAGACTTGGAGCCAGGTGAAAACTCTAGCAGAGAATCGAACGCAATGGAGACGGACGGCTGAAGCCCTATGTTCCTCTAGGAATTAAAGGAAACAATAATAATAATACAAGAAATGGTTTCAAAACGAGTTGTGTCCGCATGGAAACCTTACTGCTGCTTATAGGCTACAGCAGAGTAAGTGGAGATGTGAAAT